AAGGAAATGCTATGACCTGAGACAGGCATTAAGATTGAAGCTGTAGCCTCTGCCCTGGCACAGATGGCTACAAATGGAAAACTGCTGCTGCCAGACAGACAGGGAAAACATGAGGATTTGTTGCTCAGAGGAAGAACACAGAGTTGCCCAAAGCTGGGAATTCTGGCAGATCATCTGCTGTCTTTCAAATGACAGTGGAGGAGGGATACAGACTGCAGGCTACAGAGAAATAAGCTATCAAGCTGCCTCACCCAAATCCTTTGGTGAACACTGTTATTTGGAGCCAATTATCAACACACACCCCCACCCTCGCCCCCTTTTTGTTACTTGTAGGTTTAATCCTTGTTGTTGAAGCCCATGTGATGTTTTCCAGGTGCGCACAGTGTGATGTGTTCAAGGTGTGCTCAGGTGCTGGGCCAGTCTGACCCAAAACAGAGGTGTTTCCTTCAAAGCACTGCATTTACACAGTAAGGTGAGAGCATTCTTTCCCCCACAGCTATGACAGGACTTGGCATTTCTCTGTTATTACAGGCTTTGAACTCCTGTAACCTCAGCTTGCATACAGTGGAAAAATTCAGGGTTTGCTTGCCTGAGCATGGGGCTGCAGTTCCCAATGTGTTTTGGTGCTGTTCCAGGTGAGAGCTCTCCTGTGACCTGCATCCCAGTACGTTTGCCCTGCCTCTGCCTTGCAGGAAACTTTCTGGACATCTGTATTAAGAGCTTTGCTGCCAGTAGAAGGGAGATTTCCCAGTGCTCTCAAATCCATTTGCTCCGGAAGGCTGTCTTTAAAGCCAATGCACTCCAGTGGGAGCTTAGGTAGGATCTGGCTTGTAAGCTTGATCAAAGGGTCCCAGAATTTGCCCTCTGGTTTCCAAAAAGCTCTGGATTTGCTGGTTAGTGAATTTGCCTGAATGGTAAAGGACCAAGGGTGTTCCTTACAGCAAATTTGGAGTCATTTTCATTGGGAGACTTGCCATCTGCAGGCTCATCCAAGCAGTAGCTGGTTTTTACACTGAGAAGTCTCTTTGCTACTGTGGTGAGGTTGTCTTAAGTTGTTATTGCAGTTGCTAAGGCCTTTAGGCAGGCAAAGGACAGGAATATGCTTCAAATGCTTCTCGGATCAATCTGATCCAGCTGAATTCATGTCCCTGGCAAGCTCTGCACCATCCAAGAATACCCTAACAAGTTGAAAGAGTCACATCCTTGTGGCCCTCCCTGAATGCAAAAGCCTGGCTGTTAAATGAGTGTTACCTCTTCTGTTCATCTTTGTAATGAATTCCGGAGCCTGGCTCCCATTCCCTGTCCCCTCCTCAGTAATTCCCTGCAGAACGTGAAGGAAACCTGCTGGTGATGCCTGTTCTCCTGTTTTCCTTCCCAAGTTTATCCTTTATCTAGTATTATTTGGACCTATTTGCTTTCTCTTACAGTGGTTGTAGAAACAATGCTTAACAAAATGGGATTGAATTTAATAAAGGGCAAGTGCCACACAGCAAAGCCCATTAAAGGTGTGATTAAGACTAAAAGACAAGTCAGTATTCCTGCAGCACCTGCTGGGGGTTTATCTCCTTGTCAGCTATTAAAGGAAACCTGGTTAAAGACTGAATGTAGCTTGATAACATAAATCCACACTAAAAATGCAGGCTCCTCTCCCTATGGAATAATAGTGAATCATGCCATTGTTGGAAAGCTATGGCAAGCTTTGGAGCAGAAGGAGGAAAAAAGGCTCAACCTGTGTGGTGTTTGTCCTTCCCCTACTTTAAAGACCTGTTTTGAGCAATGCAAGAACCTTCCATCACATGAAAGTAAGAGCTTGTGTAGCCATAAACTCATTTGAATCTGATTTTTTTCATTGCTGTGCTTCTTGGTAAATGATTTCCTGCCCTGTGCCAGATGCTGTTTTCATTCACAATGAAGTAATAGTCCTCTGTGAGTGAGCTCACAGTATCCTACCACAGCCCTTATTGTGACTTCTCAAATTTAACATGCTCAAATGCAGCCTTTGTTGGTTGTTTGGGAACTTTGAGATCTGGGGTTTGATTGAAGATGGTCTCTAACAAAAAAAAAGGGAGCACAGAGCCTGGGGAACTGGGAGAATTTGCAGAAAAACACTGAAACAAAAGCAGGGCAGAAAGGGGAAGTTTGACTGTTTGATATAGTCGATTTTTCTCATACAGGCAGAGGCAAAACTTGATGTAAGTCTTGTGTCATTTGCTGCTTTTCAGGGTTTGAGATGGTGCTTAATTGTGGACCACACCAAGGATGTCAGTGATGGATCCGTGGCTAGCATTAGCCAGGGGGACCAGGCTTGGGGTCTGCTCTATTCCATACCACTGCATGTTCTCCCTGGCCATAGCTCATGCTTTGCACCTAGGCAAGTGCATCCAAATACAAGTAATTTGTAGTTCTTCAACTAGATCACAGGGTTAGACCTTCCAAAAGATGGCTAGAGGCTTTGCAGCTCCCTTTTAGCGATCTGTGGGCTTGGTATCACAATGGCACAGCTCTATCCTTTCCTGCTATAAGGCTTATTCAGAATGGGCCACGTGTTTGTGCCAGTGTGCGTAGAAGTGAATCCTTTTGAAGGCTTATATAAAGGTGTATCTTCCAGAAAACAGAACAAATACAAGGAATCCAGTTGAGTTCCTTGAGGCCTGGTCATGCAAAGAGTGGAACACTCAGTTTTAAATGCAGGTTAGAGCACTTTGCATCCCCCGTGTCTGTGGAAGGCTGTAGTGGTGTGTCTATGTGCACATGTAGGTGTTTCTAACACTGTTTGATCTAAGGATATAATTATCCTTATAAAACACTTATTATTTCTTCCCCTTAGGAGTAAACTGGGAATCATGGAAAAAGAAAGTGAGATGGAAGACACTCCTTTTGAAATTGGGAAGTGAAAAGTGATTGAAGGTGACGCTTCCTTGGATAGCTTTTTAGCCTTTCCAGTCAGCAGAGGAGCCGACAAGCAGGTCTGTCATCCAGCTGTAGTTTCAGGTAGCATGGAAAATGTATCATTAGGCTCTTTTAGCAGAAAAGAGGGAGGCATTTATAATCCTTGATAGAATATTGGTATATTTAAATGGGATGTTAAATAGGAAGCATGGTGAAATTTTGCCCTCCTGGAGACTGCACCAGGTTATAGGTGGAGGAGAAACTTAACCAAAAGCAGCTTTGAGAGAGCTACTGAAATACAGCTGAATGAAGATGTTTGCCTGACCAGCAAAATCTGTATTCACGTGGCGAAGGGTTCATTACTCATCCTGCGATGCTTTCTGAAGTGTATTTTTGTATCATCATTCCCCATTTTAAATGCAGCTCTGAAATCCCAAAAGGGAATTAACTACCAGACATTTGCATTTTAAAGGGAAAAACTCAAACCTCAGTAGAGTGCTCTACTTAAGACTCTTTTTATATAACTTAGCCAATCAGCTCCATCTCACTGGAGACCTTAGGGAGTCAACCCTAAGACAAGGTAGGAAAATCCAGACTTGGAAAAAGCCTTGTAATCTGCATCATGAAACACAGGATATGCTGGCATTGGTGGGAAGGTCTCCTGTGAACTGGTGTCTTCATTATTGTGTGACTTGGGGGGGGGGGGGATAAAAAGGGACCTTCAAGCTTTGGCGAACTGGGATGGCAAAATGCAGGATGCCCACTTTTCCTGTGTGAGAGGGGAAAATTATAGTAAAAAAACTAAGTTGTAAATGAAAAAGAGCAATTTGAAAACAAAGAGCACTCAGGGCTGACTTGTCCTCTGAGTCAATGTGATTCAGGGGCCGGATTGAGGAGGTTGTTCTCCCCTCAGGCCATAGGGTTAAAGCTGTATGTGGTCCACTCCTTCCCTTGGAGACACTGGGATTCCTCTTTTACCCAGATGATGCAGTTCCTTTCAGCTGCATCTTGCTGGGTGCCTTTATTCAACTGGAACAGACTTCAAGTACGTGGTTTCTTATTGCCAAGACAACCTGTATTCTAACTTCTTACTGCCTTAGAAGCTTCAAAGCTCTGAAAGTCCTGCTACTTCTCTTTCTCATGGCCCTCCAAACAACTCTGTTGCAAAGGTTATAATAAAGCCAGTGCAGAATATGAAGCCACTCTCTTGAATAAAATCATACATGAATAGTACTAGAGAGCACCATCTGTATTTAGGGCATTTAAAGTTTTAGAGCAAGGTCTAAAAACATGAATTCCTCTGCTTGGGAATGCCTAAATCCCACTGATTATTCCCTGTAAATATCAGAGATGAGACTATTCATCAGCACAAGCTCTTTCAGCTCCTTCCTAAGTGTGATGTGGTGACAGGCACTGGAGGGCAACGCTGCAGGTCCCTGGGGCACCAACTCCCTTTCTTCAGGGTGTGTATCCTGGGAAGCTAAAGTAAATATTCCTGTGTTGACATAAAAAGAATGACTGGGTGGTTGGGAGCCACCTTCTAATGATGACTGTAACAGGAAATGTTATACAAGGATATCGAGGAGTAAGGAGGGGAGTTTTGGTGTAGTTATTTTGCTTTGCACCAGCACTTAAGACTACTGTGCCACTGGTGAGAAAGAACAGTTCCCAGGGCTAATGCTGTATCACACATGAGATCCAGACACTGTACAACTCCTTGTTGCCTGTTCCTGTGTTGGAAGTTACTTCCTAACACATCCTGTTGCTTGCAGGCTGAGTAACAGCACAAACAAGCAATGGGGGGAAGAAAGGGTGACTTTGGTGTGCCATCAAGGAGCTTGTCAGCACAGGTTATTCCATGCTGCCTGATGCAGCAGGCACTGAATCAGACCTGATTGGGAAGGAGGGGCAGGTTTTCTGTTGTTGAATTGCACTTATCTTCAAAGCTGCTGGAAGTGATTCTGCGTTTATTCAGCACTGGGAGTCCTGAGCTTTTGAGATTCAACGTTGTTCATTGCTGTTTGTTAGGATGATTTGGCTTTTAATCCACCAGTGAATACTGAATGAAGAATTCAGTCGTAAATCAGATCTCCTCTTGCTTGCCAGTCACACAAGCCATTTTTATTTTCAATTTCAGGTTCTTTTACCATCCAGGCCAAAAATTAGGAGTTAGAAAGCAGCTTAAACTGTTCCTCTCCAGCGACTCTCCTGCATCACTGCTTAATCCTTCCATTATGTGTGATATCGTTAATCATTCCACTGTAATATTTGACACACATTTGTGGGACAAATTTAGTTCTAATCTAAAAGCTGCAATAACAGTGACTTATGTGGAACGGCAGCTAATTAGAGCATAGTTGAATTTTCATCTCTTGTGAAAGACTTGTATAAAATGAACAACCTTTCACACTGTTGAAATGAGGCTGTCGGAGTGAGACGGGCAGGCAGATGAGGGGAGAGGAGAGGAAGGTTATCCAAGGACAACAGGAGAAATCTGTGTCATAATAAGCCGATACCTGTGCAAAATATGCTCAGTTGTTGGTGGATTCTTCTTAATTGTTGTGTTTTTCTTTAAGCTCTCTTATGGCTCATGGTTTGATTGCCTTGATATCCAGGTGACTGATCCTGCCATCTATAGAGACTGAGTGACACTTCTGCCATCGCAGTGGACTAGAAGAGATGAAGATGGCAGGATGCCTCCAGCCCATTGTGGGAAGATGCTGCAATGCAAGAAGGTGAGTTTACTAAATCTTTCCTGCAATGCAGCGTCTTTTCTCTCTAAGGCCCTTATTGGTAGACCTCTAGATTCTTGCCTTCAAGTTCCATGTATCAGGTTAAGTGTTTGCTACAGCTCTTGGAAGGAGATTCAGGCATGATTCTTCAGGCCTCGAGATTCTGCCAGTGTCCAAAGCCATGGAACCATCTGAAGAGAGAAAATGAGCAGCATAAATACTCAGTTTGTATATTCAGAAAACTGATCCATAGCTAAAAAATGGTGCTTAGGGTCTCATGGTTTTGTATTTGGGCTCCTAAATATGAGCCCACACTTAGTACTTTATTGAACTACATATCAGAGGTTATTTCCCGAATAGCGACTGCTACAGATGTGCAAATCTATCCCAGCAAAGGATTGCTTGTGTCTTTGAGATGCTGCTTTTGCCTTGGGTAGTCTTCATCTTCAAAAGAAGAAACTGTTCAGTTCAACTCACTGTTACTGCTGGTTTTGCCCTCCATCTAGAGAGCAGAGGAGGTGGTAGACTTAGCACATTATCTGCCTGCTGAGATTTGTATGCAGAGTTCTGAAGGAGCAGCAGCTTCCTTTAGCAGCCACATCCCTGTTGTGCTCACCTTAAGCATCCTCAGTTGATGTATCAGTCATTTTCCAAGGCGTTGCCACCTCTTCTGTGCTGATGTCCTTCAGCAAAGCAGTGATACTCCTGGACCTAAAAGAAGGGGCTGTTTTGAGGTTTGCAGTTATGGGAGAGCGACTATTCTTTCCTTAATGGTCTGTTCCATGCTGTAGGCAAGGATTGTGCTGTTTGAGATGAACATAGCACAAACTGCTGATTGAACCTCTTCCCCCCCCCCCCCCAAAAAAAAAACCTCAGGACACCTGCATGGAAGGCAGATTAATGGCACTGAACAGGAGCAGTAGGAAAATGGCCATGAAGACATAAGGATTCATTGATATGATAAAGGGAAGACTTTTCCCTTCCCTGCCAAGCCCTTTTAAAGATGTCTTTGAGGAGAAACAGGCTTACTGTCCACCCTTATTTACTGTGTCACTCCTTCTCACAGATTGCTGTGCTGGTTTCCTACAATTACTCCTTTCAGTCCTGTTTTTCCTATCTGTTTCCATTTGCAAGGCATCTGTTTTCTTCTCCATCCCATCCTTCACTCTATTCCCACAGGAACCCCCTTTATTTAAACTCCTGCCTGCCTTGTGTTATCTTTCAAGGCCTGGAAGGTCTCTGCACTTTGTGTTACCCTCTTTCTATGGAACATCTTCATCCTGTGTGTATACTTTGTACCTTAAAACCAGCTTCTTCAGTGGTTTCCTTCATCTCGGTGCTGCTGGATTCCTACACCTTCTCTGCAGTGCGTTTCCCTACAGATGGAAGACTGAACTGCAAACCAGCAGAAGCCCTAGATTTCCACCAGGAAATCTTGCAGCCAAATACAGATGTTTGTGGGGTTTGGAGTATTATTTCCCACAGGCACTTCCATAGCTGGATGCTGGATAAAGGTGTAGTTGGCTGATAAGTTTTCCATTGCTTTATGCCCCTCATACAGCCTTGCTGATGGAGAGAGACCTTGTCCTCGAGCAGCGTGGCTTGTGATGAGTTGTGGTAGCTAACTGAACATCATTCATTCAAGTTTAGTATTCTTTACAGTGCTGAACTGTGCTGGAAAGAGTCCCCTTCACAGTAGCCCACCACATGCTATGGCCATTTCTGTCTGCACTCTACCTCCTAAACCCGAGGCTGACTCAGCTCTTCCTCTGCAACCTCTAACTTGTCCATACCTGGCACGTGGAGCTAGTAGGAATGATACTATCTGCCCTTTACAACTTGAATCAAGCTTTTCAATTAAAAGAGCTGCATCACATTAGCTCTTCCAGGCTAGATCAATTTTATGCTTTAATTTGTGGAGTTTTAATAGAATGGTGAGACTATTCAAAGCCTTGCTCTCTTCTCTGAGCTCATTCTGCAGGTACTGGCAGGATCTCAGCACTAATGCTGCTGCTCCCAGCGACTTTAATGGTACCAGATACATTCCTTGGCAACATCTGTTTGCCCTTTTTATCAGGAGTTTAACATTGCCCTTAGAGGGCATGTTTTTGCACTCATAAATATGCTCTTTGCATTTACACAGTTGTGGTCTTGCAAGTGATAATGGGCAGAGATGTTCACTTGAAACTCTTTACAGAATAAACAGCAACAGTCAAAGGTGAGCACAACATTCTCAGTGCTTTGTTAGCACAGATGTACTGGGAAAAGAGCCCCAAAAGCCCTTGAAACAAGCATAGAAAATGGGATTCTTGGAAGTAAATGTTAACCCTGTGTAGTAGGTGGCAGCTTCCAAGAGGAAAGGTGTTCTAAGGAATGCTGCAGCATTGCAGCATTCATTCCAACTGGTGCTGTTGTCAGAGGCAACAGATAAGAATCCACAAGGCAGTTACCTGGAATATATCTACATGTTGAATTAACCATGACCACTGCGAGTGTCAGCATCCCTGCAGCAGTGTAACCTGCTGTTCCTATGTTGACTTAAGTGCTCATCTGAAAGCCACCCCCTCCAAGGCCTTTACATGCTGCAAGTGTGGCGTTTTCTCACCTGCTTGGACTACATTTGCATTCTGCTGGACACCATCTCAATTTCCCTTCCTACCTGCTACCCAGCAGTCATGAATTGAGTTGCGTATGAGCATTAAGGAAAGAACAAGCTCCTGTGGCTTAGAACCTCCTTTTTGTGTGTGGGGGGGTGACTGCTCTGTGTATGAAGGGGAATCTGCTATTCTTCAACTAGTGATCTGTCACTTGTTTTTACACAGGGAGCTGAGCACTGATGGTCAGGAATAGGCTGTGTTGCAGCCTCGTGGCAGGGCTTCCATGCTGGTGTGTCTGCAGTGTGGTACTAGGAGCAGGCTTAACGCTGTTGTAATGGAGCTGTCTCCTTAAACATGCTCCAAGTGAATCAGGTGTCTGTTTGGTATGTCATGGCTGCATTGGGGAATGCCACTTGTTTTGATGTTAACTGCCATTGTCCTATCATAAGGTGCTATATCCATGTGGCTGTGGGAATTCACGTTGTCTTGGGGTCCTCATCCTTTTCGAGCCTCTGTACTTAAGATGTTGGTGACTTGAGCTGCAGGTTATTGAGCACCCCTTGCAATCATGACCTTGCTTTCTGTTCTGCCCCCCAAATCAAGTCTTCACATCACCCCAATTAAAAAGCCTTTTTCTTTCCTGCAGCTCTTTCTGCCATGCGCAGAATGCATTAGCTAACAGGGGTTGTGAACATGAACACCAAAGCACTACATAAATAGTAAGTATTAAAAGTATATTAATTTATATAGCACTTAAAAGGCTATATAAATCAACCTTGAAAGAAAGCCCTTATCCAAAGCTTTCTAAAGAGCTTGTACATTTTGACCTGGGGAGAAAGGAAAATACATCCCTTTAAGACAAGTGAAAAGCTTAACTCTATGGCCTGTTATTTACATGTGCATTTATATTGCACAACCAAGGAGTTGCACTAAAATATATCAGTTGCCAAAACCCCCTTTTCCAGCTGAATTTGGCCAAGGTGAGAAGGGAATTACATATGCCAGAGGGAATATACAGCAGGACTGCAGTAAAAGAGATTTAAGGGGTTTGAAATACTGTAGAAAAGACCATAATAAGAGAGTAGCGGTCTAGTCAGCTGGTTTAATTACAACAGGGCTGCTTATTGATCTAGTATAGAGATTTACCCCCACTGCAACACTTCAGCAATATTCTCTTCACCCATTGAAGACAATAGTGCTTCTAAGAGCCATATAGAGAATATAGAAGTTGAGAATGGAAGTCTTTAACTCTGAGTTTGGTCTTTTTTCCACCTTATGTATTTCCATCCAAGTGACTCAAGTATGTGACTGGAGCCAAAGAAAAGACTAAGAAGGTGCTAGTAAGAGTATGGAAGGGCAACTGTAGCAGCAGCTTGGTAGCTCTTTGTGCCAGAAGGGCTTGATTATTTAACTCCTTGCTATAAAAGTCATGGGGTGAAATTAAAATAGGGTGAAATGAAAGCGGTGTTGGTGCCAATTGGGTTTAAAGCTTAAATGTGTCTTTAAATAGTGCTATTGGCTGTGGCAGAGTATCTGCATGGGAAGGAACCAGAGGCAGAAGAGAAGGTGGTGGTGGTGGTGGTGGTGATGATGATGGTTGTGATGCTGTATCATAGAGATGTGTGTCCATTTAACTAACCTGTACAAAGAGCTTTGCTGCATTTACACAGGGTTGTGGTGGGTGTTGTGTTGCCTTTGCAGCACCCCATGGTTATTTTGCCCTCTGTGTTGGTGACACAACTGGTGATTATTATCCAACAGCTGTGTTTTAAGGAGAAAAAGCACTAAAAAGGAATAAAAACTTACCACGATAGCGTTGGTTTTCATTGCACATCAAGCAGGGCTTGGAGCTTGTGGGTAGCACGGGGGTCAAGAAACTGGGCCTAGATGTAGAGATAGCTTTATTTTATAGGGGGGAAACTCATTGTTTTAAAGCAGAAAAGATGAGGAAATTGCCTTATTTTCCTTTTATTACTACACCCCTCTCTTTGCAGTGCGGGGGGGAGGAGGAGGGAGGGTTTATAGCCTATAAACCCCCATGGCCATAGGCCCCGTGCCCCTTTATTCTCCTCTATGTAAGGAGTCGGTCGCTGGTGTACGTTTATAGTCTGTATCTAACACTAAAAGGGGGTGGAATTCCCACCGGGGTCCTCCCCTCAGGCTCTCGCCTCAGCACTGGCCGCCATTTTCGGGCGGAGAAGACACTCACCCCCGTGGGCGGGGCAACGGGCCCCGCGCCGCCTCCTATTGGCTGGTATCGCGAAAAGGGGGCGTGGCGCTTGGGCGGCGGCGGCGGCGGGTGGAGGCGATGGCACCGATGGCGCCGGCGCTGCGCTTCCCGTTCCTGCTCCTGGTGGGGCTGGCCGGCCCCGCGGCCACGCTCGCTGGGTACATCGAGGTGGGTACGGGCCGAGGGGACCGGTGCCGCTGCCCGCTGAGGGAGCGTGCTCCCCTGGGAGGCTGCCTGAGCGCCGGGCGTTGGCTGGCGGCGGAGGGGAGGCCGCGGTGGGACTTTCTCGCCGTCTCTACCGGGGTGTTCCAAGCCCTTTCGGCTGTGGATGAGAGCCGGGCTGCGGTGGGCAGGAGGTGCGCTGAAGGGAGAGGGAGCTGGAGCGGCTTCTTCCTTCTCATCGGGTGGTGGGTCCGTGTCTTCAGGCAGAGCGCTTCCAGGCGGAGACCGCAGGCCTCGGGTCTGGATTGGGAGCTTCGTCCCGTCGGGATGCTCCGCGGTCGGGGCTTGCTTTGGGAAGTGACCTCTGCATTGTTGGCACGGTGCAGGAGCGGGGAGCTTCGGATTGGTCTAGAAGCTTAGGAGAGTATTAGAGCGCAGTTTGGGAGAGAAAAGCCTCGGTTAAACGGATCCGTTTGATTGCATCCGCTTGGTAAATCCCGAATAAATCCTCGGGCT